CTGACTCACCATGTCCACTCCATTCTTCCCCCTCTTTAAGACATGCGCACAGCACACACTTCCCCTCTGTCAAGCCAGTCAAAAATAGGTGCAGACATCATGAAATGGAAAAGCCATTGCAGCTAAGTGGCAGTGGTGCCAGGGAATGCAGTACTCTGCAATGGTGAGGCTGCACGGGTGGTCTCAGAGGCCCTTCATCTAGGTGCGTGTCTGCCCTTCATCCTGGCTGGCAGGGCTGGGAGCGGAGTGAGGTAAGGGATGCTGTCTTCACTCTCTCTCTCAAGAAATATTTTAAAAAGAGACTTATTTTGGCCCTCATCTCCTCAAAACAAGATCCAACCAGCTATAGCACCAATACCGCTCATAGAAAGTCAACAGTAATTCAACAAAACAATTCAAATTTCAGCCCATTCTAAAACTTCCCCCAAAGTCCTTAAAATGTTTTTAGAGCTGTTTTTCCTAGCCTTGATGTAGGTTCCAGTAAAGGTTCATAAATTGCCTTCATTTGGGCTTTCTGTTTTGTTTTGCTTTGCGTTGTTTTTGCCTCTCCCAATCAAGAATAGCCCTCCAATATACTATTCACAGCAATGACCCCCAAAGTTGTCCATGTCCTAATCCACAGAACACGTGAAAAATATGACCTTGCTTATGGTTAAAGAGACTTTACAGATATAATTTAGTTAAGGATCATGAGATAGATTATCCTGAATTACCTGGGCAGGCCTAATGTAATACAGGGTCCTTATAAAAGAAGGGTCAGAGTCGAAGGAGGAAACTAGCAATGGAAGCAGAGTTTGGAGTGATATGAGTCAAGGCTCGCAGGGATTCTCGAGAAGCTTGAAAAGGGAGATTTTATGTTCTCTTTGAGACCACTCAGCCCTGATGACACCTTGATTTTAGTTCAGTGAAACTTCTGACCCCCAGAACTGTAAGGTAATATTGTTACAGCAGCTGTAAGGAACCAATACACCAGTCTTTATTCCTCATGACACTGAACATTTTCTGGTGTCCAGGGCAATTGTCCTACAGAACTTTTCACTGTGTTCTTTCTCTGGATTACAGTTAAACACTTTTTTTTTTTTTTTTTTTTTTTTTTTTTTAAGAGAGGGTTTTGTTATAGAGTACATGCACTGACCAGAAAGATAAGAGATGGAAAACTAGAAGTCACTCCCTGGTTGGGGGGATAGCCACACCACAATCCTTCCTCCATTCTCTCCTCTCAGGACTTTGGGCATGCACACAGAAGCACCCAGCATGATTTTTAAGCTGCTGGGTCCAGGACTTGAATCACGGCCAACTACATGGGAGTCGGATGATGCCAAGTGGTAGCCCCCCCAGTTCTCCACATTATAACAGCAGGTTGCCCTTCAGAGTTAATACATATGCCGCAGGGTAGACCTTAGAGAACACGTGATCCCCTGCTCCTCTGCCAACTTTCACCCACTACCCTCTGAGCCGGAATCAATCACTTCATGTGGATTACAAAATGTGACCTTTAAACGCTATCTCTCCTTCCTCATTTAGTAAATGTTATTCTTCTGTGAAGGACAGGTTTGCTTTATTTTTCCTTTCTCTCTTTCATTTGTATGAGTATCCTATGGGCTCATTTTATCATTATTCAACGTGCTGTTGGGCTGTTTTATCTTTTTAGTCACTTCCAATCTAGATTAGTCCCCTGCCTGTTACTATCACTACTAATGCTCAAATTGTCCCCAAACTGCCTTTTCTCTCTTTTTCAATTACCAGAGGGTTGTGTGCACTTGCCAGGGAGACAGAGAAGAGGAAGAAAGTGTGTGCCCCACACTGTGAGGCATGGCCATCCTGCAACCCCTTTTCCACTTCTCCATCCTGCTAGGGTTTGGGGCACACACACACACATGAATATGGCACGTTTTGTTGAGCTACCAGGACCAGGATTTGAACCATAGCAGTCATGTAAGAGCTAGCGTCTTAACCAATAGGCTATAGGGCCAGCCTCAAGCTGGGTACTCTTAAAGTATCTGCTGTAGCATGGACTAGGATTTACCTAGAGTGAACTCTTGGCTCTACCAAGAATTGACTGCAGGACCCTGGATAAGGCATCAGTTACGTTCTTAAGATAATGGAGCTTCCTACGAAGTCTGCTTCGATAAATAAAAGGGAAGTGACCTGCGGTTTCTAACACAATATGAAATGTGTGTGGGAGTGACTTAACCACCAGCTCAGGACAGCATGACAGTAATATTTACTCAAAGCCAGCTGAGAGGAATGTTTCAGAAACCAGAGGGAATGACATGAGCAAAGACAGCACTGTGGGAATCAGAGGTGGGGGTTACCAGACCTCCGAGTGGGAGTGGGCGGAGGCGGACACAGATGAAGCAGGAAAGGAAGGGGTTGGCCAGGTCACGAAGGGCCCTGCTCATAGACCAGGACGATGCTGACTTCTGTGACACTCGGAGGGGAAGTGGGTAAGTGGGTGGCACGAGACAATCCTGTGTACCAGTCATCTCCGTGTTCTGCCCTGTGTCCTTGTGGGAGTCATCCAGGGGCTCAGGGGGGTTCTGGAGGAGGGCAGAGGTGGTCAGGTCTACAGTGAGTTCTGTGCAGCTGGTAGCACCATTGTACATTTAATAACTAAGTTTTGAAGTCATGAAACAATTTGCCTGAGGTTGCTCAGCCAGTGAACAGGGAAGCCAGAATTTGAAAATGATAAATCAGCCGAATAATCAATACCTGCTCAGTAAATGGTTGTGGCCCCGTCCCACGTGCCCTTTTGGATTGCGTCCCCAAGGCCAGTCTCCTGAGCGGCTGACATGTTTAACAGGCCTTCCATAAAGTGAGTGCAAAAGCTACAAAGGGACTTTGGGGCTAGGGAATGGGCACCCTGGTAGATGGCACAGAATATGCAGGTTGTCCCCACTGGTGAGACACTGAGAGGAGGATGAAAATGCTAAAGTTCTAGAAAGATTCTTGGGCTGGTCTAAAGCAGACAGGTGGTGTCAGTGGGCAGGGAACTGAAGTCTGAACCTGGATGCAGATTTTTGGTACACATGCACATACACCTGACATGTTTTTCAAGTTTCATGGGCTTGCACGGTGGTAGCCCACAGAGAAAGCTCCCAGGACCCATTTATTGAGGGCTTACTGTTTTGCTTTTTAAGATTTATTTAATTTTATTTATTATTATTATTTTAGGCATATGTGCCCACCACACACACACACACACACACACACACACACACACACACGCGGTAGGGGGAGGGGAGGAGAGAAGGGAATGAGAAAGCGAGTCGCCAAGTCTGGGACTCCAACCACGACTGGCCATATGGGAGTCCAGTGCCTTAACTACCACGATACCTGCTGGCCCCTATCAAGGACTTATTGTATAAATTCACTGCCCCAATTTCCCTCATCTCTAAATTGAAAATAACAGAAATAGTAATGAACATAATAAGTGGTTAGTACAATTCATCAAGTGTTATATAAAAATCTCTTCTGAGACATATACACATCTCAGTATTCCTCGTCTGTTGGGAGGGAAAATAGTAACACATGATACAAGCCACTGCTTGACCTAACAGACATAAGGCGCTGGTCTAAGGGACTCAGGCCTCTCAGTCGCCCTCATGGAGGTACCGGAATAGTGGCAAGTCAACATCATCCCGAGTGGCGGCTAACGCATGTGCTGTCGGGTCCTCCTCTTAAGACACACACACACACACACACACACACACACACACACACGAGACAGAGCCCCACTGTGGAGTCCTGCAAGTCCCTGACACGCTCCCACTCCTCTCCATCCCACTGTGCCCCACCGCGCTGGCCATCCTCAGACTCCTCCTCCAATGCAGTCTAGCAGTCTCAGCTCAGCCCTCTGTGAGAGCTGTGCCTTCTTCCAGGTGCACCTTTCCCAGACACCCACCTGGCTCCCTCCCTCCCTCCCTCCCTCCCTCCCACCTCACCCCCCTTGTTACTTCCTCAATGGACTTCCCTAATGATATCTTTTCAAATACAGGGCCAGGCCAGCCAGCAGTGGTGGGGAAGGTGGTTAGATCCCAGACCAAGACTCAGCAGCTTGAAAAACATGCCAGGTGTATGTGCATGTGTGCCAAAAATCCGGAAAGGAGAAAGAAAAAGAGGAGAGGGGTTTGTGGCATAACCATCCCCATGGTGGGTGCTTTCTCACTTTCCCTCTGTGTGTCTCTCTCCAGTGAGCACATGCGAAAAACATGCCAGAAACGTACGCATGCATGCCCAGAATCTGAAACGCAAATGGAGAAGAAATTGCAATGTGATGGCCCCCTGTGGGGGTTGCTCTCTCACTTTCCTCCTCTCTGTCTCTCTTTCTGGCAAATGCACATGCCTTCTAGCAAAAAATTAAATTAAATTAAAATTAAATTAAAAATCCAAGGCCTATAGCAGTGCCTGGCACACAGCAGATAGCAAATGCCTGTTTAATCAGTACATGAGCATTGAATGGTTGCGGTGGACTGGTCTCAGATGTCCTTTGGAATTGAGTCCCCACCGCCTGCCTCCAGAGCAGCTGACCTGTTTAACAGACCTTCCATAAAGTCCAGAAGCCCCCAAGGGACCTAGGGAATGGCACCCTGGGGGATGACACGGCAACGTGCTCAGAGCGTTTGAGCACAGTGGAGGACAGTTGTGCAACCCGGATGGAATGGACAGGATGGAATGAACGGGGGTGGGGGAGTGCATAAGGTGGTGGGGAGGGGGGCATAGGTAGGAGGGCAGGTCTGAGACGTCAGTCAAACGCTGGGTTTCCCTGGACCATGGAGACCCACTAGACCTGAGGACTTGACTGGAATTGCTAACACGTTCTTTCTAGCCCTCGTTGACGCAATGTGAAGTTTGGCGACAGGCTGAGGAGGCCAGGCAGCCCTGCAACCGCTCTCTCAGCACCTGCTCCTCAACTGAGCCGCAGCTGGTGGGCGGAGTCCGGCCGAGCCCCGCCCGACACCCTGGACACGCCCCTCCCCCAGTGACTCCCGAAGCTGACACAGCTCTGGAGCTGGAGGACTGTCGGAAAGCATGCCTTTATTTCTTGGCGGGCCTTGAAGACGGGCGGGGACAGAACGGGTCCCACTGACTTAGGGTGGCGTCAGGGCCAGCTTCCCCGGCGGCTGCAGGGCCTCCTCGTCTCGGGCGTGGAGGAGCTCGAAGAGCCCTGCTGGGAGTCGGGACTCAGGCCCGGGAGCCAGCATCTCGGGCGCCCCCGCGTCCGCCCACGTAGGTCCGCACCTGTCCGCTGCGCAGCTGCCGCCGCGACTCCCTCTGCCCGCCCACCCCCACCCCCGGGGCCACCCTGCTCCCACAGACCCTTCTCTAAGGGGCCCTCCGAGGACCCCGCCCGCTCTGTCTCCGCCTTGCCCCTGTCCCCGGACTCCCTACCTCCCCTTTGCCCGGCCCGGGCTCTGGGGCGCTGTGGTTTTGGACGAGGCCCTGCCCCCCGAATTTCTCCGGCTCCGCCTTCTGCCTGCGGAGAAAGGTTAGAGGAGAGAGGAGGAAAAGAGCAAGAGTCGAGAGGCACCAGTAGGAGCCACTGAGACACAGACTTGAGAGGCAGAGGCGGAGACTGGAGTGGGGACCGTTGGGGTGCAGCTGGGGGACACGGCCCCATTCCCCTCCGTGCTCCTTCCCTCCTCGCCCAAGCGTCCCTTCCCCTTCTCACCCGCCGTTCCCCACTGGGGCGCCCTGGACCCCGGGCTGTGAGCGCAGACGCTCCTCCACCTGGCGCAGCTGGGCCCGCAGCAGCTTCTCTGCGCAGGGGGGG